GTTTCAGGAAGTACTTTGTATCTACATGTTCATGCAGAAGAGGCACAGTCGTGGTTAACAGACTGAACTTGACCCACTTTTTTTCATCTGTGTGCAAAGTCCATGTATTATTCATAGATTCATAGAATCATCTGGGCTGGAAGGGACCTTTAGAAGTCATCTAGTCCAGCCCCCCCGCAGTGAGCAGGGACATCTCCAACTAGATGAGGTTACTCAAAGCCACATCTAGTCTGACCTTGAATGCTTCCAGAGATGGGGCTTCCACCACCTCTCTGGGCAACCTGTTCCAGTGTCTCACCACCCTCATTGTAAAAAATTTCTTCCTTATGTCTAATCTGAATCCACCCTCTTTTAATTTAAAGCCATTACCCCTTGTCCTGTCACAGCAGACCCTGCTAAAAAGTCTTTCCCCATCTCTCATATAGGCCCCCTTTAAGTATTGGAAGGTTGGAATGAGGTCTCTCTGAAGCCTAATCTTCTCCAGGCTGAACAACCCCAACTTTCTCAACCTCTCCTCATAGGAGAGGTTCTCCATCCCTCTGATCATCTTTCATGGCCTTCCTCTGGACCCTCTCCAACAGGTCCATGTTTTTCTTATGTTGGGGGCCCCAGAGCTGGGCGCAGTACTCCAGGTGGGGTCTCACAAGAGCAGAGTAGAGGGGCAGAATCCCCTCCCTCGACCTGCTGGCCATGCTTCTCTTGATGCAGCCCAGGATGCGGTTGGCCTTCTGGGCTGCAAGGGCACATTGCTGGCTCGTGTTGAGCTTCTTGTCAGTCAGTACCCCCAAGTCCTTCTCCTCAGGGCTACTCTCAATTCCTTCATCCCCTAGCCTGTTCTGATACTGGGGGTTGCCCCGACCCAGGTGCAGGATCTTTGACTTGGCCTTGTTGAACCTCATGAGGTTCTCATGGGCTCACCTGTCAAGCTTGTCTAGGTCCCTCTGGATGGCATCCTGTCCCTCAGGTGTGTCAACCACACCACTCAGCTTGGTGTCATCCGCGAAGTTGCTGAGGGTGCGTTTGATTCCACTGTCTATGTCTTTGATAAAGATATTGAACAGTACAGGTCTCAACACAGACCCCTGAGGGACAACACTTGTCACTGGTTTCCATCCAGACATCAAGCCATTGACCACCACCCTCTGGATGCGACCATCCAACCAATTCCTCATCCATCGAACAGTCCACCCATCAAATCCATGCTTCTCGAATTTAGAGAGAAGGATGTTGTGGGGGACCACGTCAAAGGCCTTACAAAAGTCCAGACAGACAACATTCATAGCCTTTCCCTTGTCCACTGATGTTGTTACTCCATCATAGAAGGCCACTAGGTTGGTAAGGGAGGACTTGCCCTTGGTGAAGCCATGCTGGCTGTCTCAAATCACCTCCCTGTCCTCCATGTGCCTTAGCATAGCTTCTAGGAGGATCTGCTCCATGATCTTGCCAGGCACAGAGGTGAGGCTGACGGGTCGATAGTTCCCAGGGTCCTCCTTTCCACCCTTTTTAAAAATGGGCACGATGTTACCCTTTTTCCAGTCACCAGGGACTTCACCGGACTGCCATGACTTTTCAAAAATCATAGAGAGTGGCTCAGCAACTGCATCAGCCAATTCCCTGAGGACTCTGGGATGCATCTCATCAGGTCCCATAGACTTGTATATGTTCAGATTCCTCAGGTGGTCTTGAATCTGATCCTCTTCCACAGTGGGGGGGATCTTGTTCCCCTAGTCCCTGTCTTGGGGTCCATTCACTCAAGAGATGCTGGAAGAGTGGTTGCCAGTGAAGACTGAGGCAAAAAAATTGTTGAGTACCTCAGCCTTCTCCTTGTCCGTTGTTACTAGTTCACCAGTCTTGCTCATCAGGGGGGTATGTTTTCTTTGACCTTCCTCTGTGGTTGATGTACCTGTAACCCTTCATGTTAAGCTTTGCATCCCTCACCAAGTTCAGCTCCAGCCACGCCTTGGCCTTCCTGACCCCATCTCTACACAACCGGGCAGCATCTCTGTACTCCTCTCAGGATACCTGCCTCTACCTCCACTGTCTGTGCATTTCCTTCTTGGCCTTTATTTTGACTAGCAGATCTTCACTCAGTCATGCTGGCCTCTTGCCTTGCTTACTCGATTTCTTACACCTGGGGATTGCAAGCTCTTGTGCTCTATGGAAAATTTCCTTAAAGATCTGCCAGCTCTGCTCTGCTCCCTTTCCTCTGATGGCTGTTTACGAGGGGGTCATGGAGACTTAACTCCTTGAAGAGCTGGTAGTTGGCTTTCCTAAAATTGAAGGTCCTGACTTTACTCTTCACCTGACCCACATCCCTCTGGACTGTGAACTCCACTAGTTCATGATCACTGGAGCCCAGGCTGCCTCCAATCTTGATGTCACCAATGAGCTTACTTACATTGGTGATGATTAGGTCCAGTATGGCATCGCTTCTGGTGGGGGAGTCAACTTCCTGAGCCAGGTAACAATCTTCCATGCCTTCCAGGAGTCTCTTAGACTGCCTGCAGCTTGCCGTGTTGCTTTTCCAGCAGATGTCGGGGTGGTTGAAGTCCCCTAGCAGGACAAGAGCCTGCGAGCACGATGCCTCCTGCAGCTGGAGTAAGAAGACTTCGTCAACAATCTCCCCCTGTTTGAGTGGCCTGTAGTAGACGCCAACTACAATGTTTCCTTTGTTGCCCCGGTCTCTGATTCTTACCCATAAGCTTTCAACATGCTCATGGCTGTTCTTCAGAGACAGCTCTTCACACTCTATCCATCTCTTAATGTAGAGGGCAACCCCTCCACCGTTGCTTTCTCGCCTGTCCCTTTTGAACAGCCTGTAGCCATCAATAGCCACACTCCAGTTGTGGGATTCATCCTACCACATTTCAGCAATGGCCACTAGGTCGTAGCCTTCTAGCAGCATGGTGGCTTCCAGCTCTCTTCTTCATGTTTTCTTCAGAAAGCTTCATGCTTTCTTCTCTTTTTTTTTTTTTTTAACATTTTCCAAATAAATGATTCAGTGGGGTTCTTTTCTATAAAGATCAATGCTAGTAGTCATGTCTTGTGGATAATTCTACAATGAACAGACATGTAAATAATCTGGAAGAAACATTTTACATTTTCTGTATATTTTATATAATCAATAATGTGTTTAAAATCATAAACTATTGTGTCGACATTGTTAGAAGTATTAATTTTTAAAGGAAGTCTAATACACTCATAAAAAGCCCACTTAGAATAAAAATTTATGTGACAGAACTGTATGAAGAAGGATTATCAAGATTTAATGTATTGCACAGAAATAACAACCTCCTGGGAAGAATCCCATATTTAGATAGGATGTAGGCTTTGAAACTGTGATCTGTCTCCATCGCTCCCCAAAAAGACAGAAGAACATAACATTTGGGACAGTTAGAATTGATACTGTCCTTCAAAGACTGCTTTTCATTGTGTTTGATGTAACGAATCTAGGGAATACATCATTTATATGAGGATTTTTATTTCAAAAGTGTTCTCTTTAATGTTGTCACAGAAATGAGTACTCTATAATCCAGGTATGCTATAATTCCTTCTTGGGAGTGGGGTGGGGTTGTCTTTAAGATCTCAAATTATTTTTGGAATTTGTTTTGAGTTGTCAAGCTCTTATTTAAGGACAATAATTATTCCCAAGAAATCACCTTGTACAAGAGGGTTTCATAATAGTCACAGAACATAAATAGTTTTTAAGGACTTCTAAATGATTAAAAGTGCTAATAACAATGCCTTTATTTTCAAACTGCAACAGTCAAATTTTGAAAGGCAAGATGACTGGAATTGATTAATTTTCTTTTTTCTGCAAAAAGAGCTTTTATGAAGGTACTGTGGCAGACAATAAACAAGTCTTATAAGTAACAGTAGAGTTTGCTACTGGAGCACATACTGAGGAAAAGCATATGTAGTTTTACTGTGTAAGGAGTTAGTTTTGGTTACTTCTGCTTGACTGAATGGTTGTCTTTGTGTTTATGATAAATAGTAAAGATATTTTAGTGGTTCTGGTTTTCTTAATGCTTATTCTACGTGCCAGTCTCCAGGCTAAACAAGGAGTTGCTCGGAGAGGGGTACCAGGGTGATGGTACATATGTTTACAAAGTATGTAAATGAAAATAATGTTTTGCATTATAGATTAGAAACTCAGTTTTAACAGTTGTTGCACAGAGAGATTTGGGATTTTTGAGCATCAGTCCTAAGAATCCTCCAAATTGAATCTTTTGTTGTTGTTACAGCATAAAGGATTTAATTTGATAAGTATCATGTGTTTTAAGACCAGGAGGAATCTTGAAATGTATTCATAGAATCATAGAATCATTATGGTTGGAAGAGACCTCAAAGATCATCAAGTCCAACCATACACCTGATGCCACCATGCCCACTAAACCCACTAAACCATGTCTTGAAGTGCCACATTTAAACATTTTTTGAATACCTCCAGGGACGATGACTCCACCACCTCCCTGGGGAGCCCGTTCCAATGCTTAACAACTCTAACAGTGAAGAAGTTCTTTCTAACGTCGAGCCTGAACCTCCCCTGGCGCAACTTGAGACCATTTGCTCTCGTCCTGTCGCTAGTTATTGGGTTGGAGAGACCAACCCCCACCTCACTACAACCTCCTTTCAGGTAGTTGTAGAGTGCAATCAGGTCTCCTCTCAGCCTCCTCTTCTCCAGACTACTATTCAATGTATTATAGACTTGTTTCAAATAGTTTTGTAAAATTTAAGATTTCAGAAAGTGAAGTTAGAGCTTTCCACGTTGCAAAGATGCTTGTTCTAATTAAAAGAGGACAAGTGTTTTAATTTAGAGCTGTAGTGTTCAAGTCAACAAATTAACTTAACTGAAATAAAAAATTCCCTGGGAATATTAAGTGCAAACATTGAATTTGGGGGTTTTGTGCTCAATTGTAGCTGTGATAACAAATGCTTTGTGCTAATGGATTTTTTTTCTTTAATGATTTTCTTTCTGTTCTCTGACATTTACAGAACAGCTGATGATACAAAGGACAATGCAAAGTGTATATCCTGGTGACATTTTGTGTGCTGTGACATGGTTTTTGCCATGGCATCTGAGACTGAAAAGGCCCATGCTCTTCTCCAAACTTTCAGCACAGCTTCAGTTATTTCTAGTCTAGGTTTGGGAATATTCTGCTTTGTAGCAGACAGACTTCTGCAGTTTTCCTTCATTCAGCAAAATGACTGGCTCCGAGCCTTGTCTGATAATGCAGTGCATGGTATTCTAGGAATGTGGTCCTGGGCAATAGTGATTGGACTTAGGAAGAAAAGTGACTTCACTGAAGTCACCCTGGCTGGCTTCCTTGCCTCTGTCGTTGATGTGGACCACTTCTTTCTTGCTGGCTCCCTGTCGTTAAAGGTAAGTCAATAGATCAGTGATTGTTTATTCTCTTTTTTCGTCACTGTTTACTTTATTGTTCTGCTACTTTATCCTAAACAAAAAAGGTTCCAATGATACTTTAGTTAGATCCTTTTTTAATAGATATTCAGGAATTATGTTTGTATGCAGTTGTTATGAAAAAATATTTTATGTCTACTGTTAACTTTTACTCTTTACAAGGCTCTGAAAAAAGAGTTCTGAAAACCTTTGTGTGTTATATACTATGTATATCCCATAGTTGCTTTGTTACCCAAGTTATACAGTTAAGTGTTGCCATGCACGCTTTGTGTATGAAGTGGATTATTCCGTTTCTGTTTACAGTAAGAGGTAGAAATATCTGGTAAATAGGTAATTGAGCTGCTGTTTGATTTCATTCAGTCTTACTGCGTAGTACATTTGGTTTTAGCCACCCCTAAATACTTCTCCCACAGATAAGCTACATATGAGCTGTCACCTTTAAAAAGGCAATCTGAGTTTGCCTTTAAATATAGTTCGTTGTTTAAAAAGAAAAAAAAGGCAAGTGTCAAATTTGTTAATAAAAGTTAAAAGGTGATTTGGCTCCTGTTAAGGAATATATGTGATCAACATCCGTTTGCAGAACTGCTTGTTAGGACAGAGTTTCTCAGTAGGATTAGCACTACCAGATTACAGCATTCTTTTTCAGTGGTTCTCCAGTGGTTTGGGTGTGTCCTGTTCCTGCTTCACCATTCACAGACATACATATATCCCTTCTTGCCTGCTCCAAACGTGTATACCCAGCTTTTGCTGACCACAACAGTCTCTTCTGTATACTCTCCAAAACACTTGCACCTTCTGTAAGCTCCAGCTGTGCCAGCTGTGGCCACAGTTCTCTTAACACTGCCTGCCAGATCTCATATCTCAGGCAGACACTTCTCACCCCCAGCTAGCTCCTGGTCCCCATAGCTGAAGACCTGCCACTCTTCTTGTTATCAGGAATTTGCTCTGCTCAGCAACACAAGTCCTCGCAGTTTGATTATGCTGGTGTTGCTAGCATACGTATACATACATCGTACTTACTCTCCCCTCCCCAAAAATAGACACCCCCACCTACAGATGGACTTGCAAAGGAGAAGGTGAAGATACCGACCTTATCCATTCAACCAGAGCATAACTTAGTTGTTTCACCGTCTTGCCTTCTTTCTCCTCCTCCAGTTTGCTCCTGATAGTGTTACACTCCTCATATGGATGACAGAGGATGTAGCTCCTAGGAAGCAGAGGAAGGAAGGAGGTGGAGGGAAAATTGCAGTTCTTTATAATCCTTTCATTAAAGAAGAACAATGCAAAATGATGTACCAATTTTTAAAAAATATGTAGGAGACAGCTAAGTGCAAGAACCATTATTGCTTATCGTCGAGAGGTAAAAATCAGGCTTCCAATGCAAAATATTGTTTATGTACACTATCACTATTTGTTGTAGAGAAAATATGTTTTCCTTCTTGTGCATTTGGTCTGTTTCCCCCTTGTATTTGTCTTCAACAAAGAGGGCATTGTTACAGAATCATAGAGTGGTTGTAGTTGGAAGGGCCTTCTGGAGGTCATCTTCTCAAAGCCCCACTGCTGAAGCAGGCTCACCTGGAACTGGTTCCTCAGGACCGTATCCAGACAACTTTTGAGTATCTCCATGGATATAGACTCCACAACCTCTCTGTGCAACCTGTTCCCATGCACAGTCACTGTCACATTGAAAACATGTTTCCTTACATTCAGGAGGAACCTCCTGTTTTCAGTCTGTGCCTGTTGCATCTTGCCTTGTCGGGGGCACCACTGGAAAGACCCTGGGTCTGTTCTCTTTATACCTTCCTTTCAGATACTGGTACACTTTGATGACATCTCAGCTGAGCCTTCTGTTCTCCAGGCTGCGCAGTCCCAGCTGTCATCCTTTTCTCGTATGCAAGATGCTCCAGTCCTCTCATGATCTTAGTGGCCCTTCACTAGACTTGGTCTCCAGTAGTTCCACGTCTCTCTCGTAGTGGGGAGCCCAGAACTGGACTCAGCGCTCCAGACGTGGCCTTACCAGTGCTGAGAAGAAAGCGAAGGATCGCCTCCCTTCACCTGCTGGCAACACTCCCAATGCAGCCCAGGATACCATTGGCCGCCTTTGCCACAAGGCCTGTTGCTGGCTCGTATTCAATTTGCTGTTCAGCAAGTTGAATTTCCTCAAAACTGCTTTCTAGCCGGTCAGCCTCCAGCACGTATTGGTGCCTGGCATTGTTCCTCCCTAGGTGGTCCCTAGTTCTCCCCTTTTCTGTATTTTTTGCATATGGACATACTGTAAAAATATAAAACTATATAAAGAAAAGGAAAGTTAGTTTGGTTGATTAGTGAGTCCTATAATATTAGTATTTTGGTATAGCATTTAAATCTATAATTATTCTTATGTATATTTTCTTATTTTAAAATCAGTAAATGCAAGTAATGAATGGCTAGTTATTAGAAAGTATTGTTAAAATTTTATTGCTACTTTTTCTTGTATTTGAGATTTTTTCTTAATTATGACCACTAGATGACACTCTTCACCAATGTCCATTTAGAAACGGGTATTGTCTTATAGAATTGGGAGGTCTCATATCTCTTTACTGCCTTCAGTGAGGCAAAGTTAAGTACGCTTACACATCCAATGATGGAGAATGTTTGTGTAGCCTATCCCTAGTATCCCAAACAAAGTAAATTATTGCAATTTCATGACTTAATTTGTTCCTGTGTTGTTTCAGTTCCCAAGCAGCTAGCAATTGTTTTTCTATTATCCAGCCTGAAGTATTGTTGTTGACGGTTAGATCTTGTTTTCTTTTTCTTTAAGGCCTCTCTGCAAAAGACAGCTGATTGCTGTGCTCTCCCCAAAAATGTTTTTCAAATCAGAAATACAAGATGTTGCAGGTAGAAGAATAGCCCTTTAGTAGCTGAACTTACTTAGCTGAGCTAAGGAGAAAGCAAGGTGCCCAAAGGCTTTTTCATAGTCATTTGCCTACAAACTCCTCCCCCTTCCATATGTTACCTGGGCTAATAAAGGATGTTTACCTGTAAACCATATCATCTGTAAGTCTCTTGACCCTTACAGCACTAACAGCATTACTCTTACAACTTGCAAAACCATTATGCTTTACAAAAAGTCTCTTCTTGACTAAATAACTCAGAAAAAAATCTGAAGGGCCTGTATTTACGTTTTCTAAACCTTTTACTTTTTCTCATGTCCTCAGGATTGCCTTTTGCCTAAAGTATCTTTAAAGGATCCTGTCCCAACCGTGTATAGCATTTTAGGTGAGACTTCATTTGAGCCAAATAACATAGATTAATTCCTTTTAATGTTACATGCATACAACACTTGTAACAGGTTTTTTTTTTTTCTTTTTAAAAAGACACAAGTTTTCTGTCTTGTTGCAATGCCATCAGTCTCTTTAGTTTGTCATATAATGTAATCCCCATAAACTTTTCTGCTGTGTTGTTACCTGGCTAGCTAGACCTGATTTTAATAGGTGATTTTTTCTTTCCTCAGCGTAATAATCATGCACCTTTCAGTTTCATGTCGTAATTTCAGGTTGTTGCCTATGTAATTTATTACTTCGTGGGATACTTTTTTTACTATGTATTTGTTATTCCAGTCCCATTTTAGCTCTTTAAATTGCAGAACTGAGAGCAGCTGATTTAAGAGACTACAATGTTTCCTGTTTATGCAACACATTACTAAATAACCAATAAATTAAGAAATCTAATTAACCACACCACTATTACTAATTTGTAACAATAGTATTTTTCACATTACACAATTATCTATAAAGCTCTTCATCATCGCTCCTAAATTTAATGACGAGTTACTTTTTTGAAGTAACCCTCTATGCAGCACAAAGCAGTATTGCCTCCTACCTGCAGTTGCTACCTTCACACTGTTCCAGTCATCTACTCCTGTTTCTGCTGAAACAGCTTGCTGCTTGGATTATTTGGCTATTTGGCTGTTTTTCACAGTGTCATCATTATTTTTCTGGAGTATTCAGGGTAAATAACCACCTGCGGTATTTATATGTTTGATAAATACTTGTGTGCCAAGTAGCAAGTGATCTGCCCTTTTGCCCACGTTATTTTTGCAACAAGTATAAAGTCTACAAAGATGTTGCTACTTAGAATTTGTAGTTCTTTGTATTCCATGTAGTTTTTAGTGTGTATTACATGCACACAAGTGTAGAAGAATCTAAGAATCAGTGTTTGAAGGATCTGTCTCATTTACTAGCTGTAAAGGTGAAGGTTACTGCAGCCTGCCATCATGCTCAGGACTGCTGATAAACAATAACAGCATGATGGGCTGCTCCCAGTGTCCCCCAGGACTGTAACCCAAACATTCATGTTGCAGAGCAGACGTGCAGAAATCGCTAGCTTGCTATTTAAGACTCACCAGCTTCTAAAAGGATAGAGAATGCAGTCAGTGGCAAACAAGATTGTACTGGCAAACATATATAAGACAGCTGATTAATGGGCCACTGCTGACCAACCAGGGTTGCACAGGAGCATTTCTGGAACTGGAGAATAAGCTTAACACATGCAATAAATTTAACATTGAATTTATAGATCGACCTCAAAACTGAGGACTTCAGGCTTGTGAAGCATCATGGAATATGAGTGAGGGAGCCCATGTTGTTACAAAATTCTGTGATGTCACTTTCAGCATTAAAGGAAAGAGTTTGCTTGGGTTCTCCTGCATGCAATTGTTGTCACCTGTCTTCAGCTGCTCATTGTAGTGTGTGAGTGGGGCTGGAGGAGCAAGAACTTCAAGAAGATCTTGAACCTGATCGAACACGTAGGCAAATGGAAAGGTAATTTGTGTTGTGAATAAATTCTGTTCGCAACTGCAGCCTGATCTGTCATGGTAGATATCCCCTTAAATCTACCCAAACCATGATCATCTTTTTCCTGGACATTTAAGGCAGAAAAGGCTTGTACTTTTTTTTTTTTTTTTTTTTTTTTTTTTTTTAGGATCTGTTGATTTCTAAAGGCAAACAAATTTGCCTGTTAGGAGAAGGAGTATAACAGCTTATATTGCCAAGTAGAACTATGTGTCTGTCTCTTGTGCTTGGCAACTCAAGGATGTGAATGTTCCTCTAGTTACAGAATGTCAAAGAGAAAACAGACTATTCTCTCAGAACTTTGGAACAGCTTTTCAGAAGCGTAATGAGTGTACTGCAGTTACAAAATAGGGTTTTCTCTTGCTAAAATTGAGTGCTCAGGTTTGCTGTATCTAAAATTTGTATGAAAAAATTTAAGCATCACCTCCCCAAAACTGGTTAAAAATTGGCACTAATACTGATAAATTGCATACATAATTAACATTCAAATTCTTCTTAATCACTGTGTTGCTCTTGGCACCTAACCTCTATAGAGCAGTGGGAAAAGACTTGTTTAGACTTTGCCACTGATTTTTTCAAAGTGTAGAAATAGTGACCAATGACTAGGATATCTGCCAAAATGTATCGCCAGCCAGGGTGGTTTTTCAAAATTAGGCTACTATGGACTTTGTAGGCTCTTGCTGACAGTGACAGAAATCTGACTCTCTTTGTAGGGTAGGTGATAAACAATGTCACCATCACAAGATTTTTCTACTTTAATCCACGAGCAATCTGCTTGTTTGAAACGGAAATTTAGTTGTAGAAAATATATCCTTTGCACCAACTTTAAGGAGTTGGGTCCATACCATTACAGTTTAAAGTTGCTGAGACAGTTCGTGAGCTTTTTAATCCTGATCAAGAGAGTCACAGAGAAGCGTGTAGTGGGAAGCTAATAGAGCAAAGCTTTCTGCAAGGCTTTTAACATTGGCTTTGGTTTAAAGCACTGACTGTTACATTCCAAGGTAGTCCATAAGTTTCCATCTCTCTATTTCTTGGCTAAGGCTACATCAAAGTTTTCTTACAGAGAAGACAGGGTTTCAAGCAGTTGTCTAAATTATCCATGAAAATTTGAAGCTATTCCAGCGCCCCACTGTCAGGTACCGTAGCTGTTGAATCCTGCAACAATTAACACAACTGAAGCATTAATGGGTTACTGGCTTGTGACCTGTAGCAACGCTTTGTTTGCTTTCTGCGGTAGATGCTGTGAGGGATGTGTTCAACATAACAATCAGATGCACTGTCATGTGCAAAGAGCACGTTTCTGCTGCCTGTTACAGTCTTTCCAAATGTTCACAAGTATCTGAATTGAGCCAATAATGCCATCATTTCTCCTGTGCTTATAGAAACAAGAATCTACTTACTTACTGCTTAGAAATCAAAATTTTATTTATTTATTTATTTATACTATCTTTGAATTTGTGGAGATAGTTCTAGCTAGTTGCTAGTAAGTACATCTGGAATATTTTATCAAGTATGTATATTAAATTGATAACTACCCTTTCATGAAAAGGCTAAATTTAATCTCACTAGCTAGCCATTCACCTTAACTGAACCCAAATATCAGGCTTTCAACTAAGTTAACATTAAACAAATTGTTGACATAAAAATTCCAGTCACAAATGATCCAGATGTTGGCTTCTGAACTTGTCTTTTGCCTGTCCACAAAGAATGCTGTGTCAAGGCAATGAAAATAAATGTAACTTAGGTCCTATTTTTGTTGTATTGGAAATTACTGTTCTTTTTTAGATATTGTCCAACTAAAACAACTTCACAGGTGCGAACTCTAGTATAATACAGGATGCATTTTTGAAAATAAATGCCATTAAAGCATATTAAAATATTTCAAGCAAAGTATATTTCAAGTGTATTGTATGGTTGTTTTCCTTTTAATTATCTTGAAATTAACTATATATAGTCAAGACAGCAGACTGTACAAGTTCTGGTATACCACGTGACCCATGACAAATAGCATGTTTTTATCTGCCCCTGTTTTTATCCCTCCCTGTTTTTGTTGTCGGTAGTGCTTAGTAGGATACGTGATTCATATCATTCAATAGAGACAGGGCATCACACAGCTCTCATACATCTAGATAGTCATATTGTTGATTTTGATCAACTATAGTGGAAAGGGAACAGTATGTTTTTCTTTGCACTTCCATTTAGCCACTTGATAATACACCTCTAAACATCCATGAAACATTTATTTTCTTGTAACGATTGTAGCCGTTGCCAATTATATTTTTCTTTTCTGCAGGCTGCTCTGACTGTTCCACAGAGACCACTTCTTCATTGTTCTACTGTGATTCCTGTTGTGGCTCTGACATTAAAGTTTATTATGCACCTTTTCAGGCTTAAGGATTCATGGTGCTTTCTTCCCTGGATGTTGTTCATATCCTGGACTTCTCATCATGTCCGTGACGGGATTCGTCATGGCCTCTGGATCTGTCCATTTGGAAAAACTCCTCCTTTGCCATATTGGCTGTATGTGGCAATTACAGCATCTTTACCCCATCTGTGTTCATTTATTATGTATTTAACAGGCACTAGAGAATTAATGTCTATAAAACATGGAATCCACATTGATGTATAAGAATGATGGCTCTTTATGATTGTTTGTATTAGCACTTGAAATGAGGTGTCTGTTGCTGAAGTGGTTTCCTTACGTTTCCTACAACTTCTGAGTTAGGCATTTTATGCCTGTGGAGCCAGTTACAGCTCCTGTGTCAATTCCTTGTGGTCACAGAAACCTATTTAATGAGTGGTAATAATTTTGTATCTATACATTACCCTTGTAAAATATGTGGTCTTCCACTATAGTTCATTCATAGCTAGCTGATTTATAAAGTACTTAATCTTTCTCTGTAGTAATTACATTACATTTTACTGTCCCGGTGCCGTTCATCTGATCATCATTCATTTTGGATTTGTATTCTGCCTTTAGGTAATACATTTCATCTTGGTAGCATTTGTATAGCACTTTAAAAATGTAAAGGACGATATAAATGCTAAGTATTAGTGAGAATTCAGTAGTGTATGGCACTTCTAAAAAACATCAGTTAGCCTCTTGAATTTTTTTTTTTTTCCTGCTGGACTCCTGTATTCAACTGCTTTAAAAGAAATGCTGTTTGTATTTCACAATATGCAACTGTATATCTGCACCTCTTTGAACACTGCTATCATACAGTGTTTTTACTAAATTCTATTCCTCTGTAGTTGCTTAGTACTCAGTTTGCAGATAATTGCTAGCTATTATTTGTGGTTAGAAAGGAGAAAACAGTTTGGTTAGAGTATTTTGTGTGTTGGCCAAATTGTTTAATTTTAAAAATATACTAATTATGGATATTACTTAATTTGGAACTAAGGAATTTTAGTAAGTATTTAAGGATTGTGTAAAGGCAAACTTATTTATTACAGTAAAACATAAACTTTAGGGAATATTCAGGAAGATAGAAGAAAATAAAAATTGCTCAAAATCTGAGTTTGCTTAAATACTTTACTACTGTACTCATAAACAGCCTTTTCCATTAAGTGCAGTATCATCCTTATTATTGTAAAATAAAATGCATTATTATTATATGGAAATAGAAATTTCCTCATAAATAAGTTCCTTAAGGAAAAATTTTATTATGTTGCAAGTTCATGGGGTAGTAATTTGCACTGTGGACTATTCAAAGTACAGTTTTCATTTACAGAAATTTCTCAGAAAAAGTCCCAAATTAAAAACTAAGCTGTTGTCTAGGTTACAGTTTACAAGCACAGAAGCATCTATTACTAATTGTTCTGTTAACTTTTTATTCATTGAACTCCATTGCTGATTAAGGAGTTGGGGCCTTAATTATTCCAGTTCATGGTGAATAGCTGTCAAAAGGGATTATTTTTATGGAAGAGCATATGTAGGGTAGCATGTGCTAAACTTATCAAAGGGTGCAAAGATTAGGTGATGCGTTCATACTACATTTACATGAGTAAATATATATTAGTATAAAGTACAAAAAAATTACAGAAAATATTAACTGGGATGGCTGTCTTAATGGGTACTAGAGACCTTCTACGGCTGTAAAGTACTAAAGGCTCTCTGCAGCACACTAAGCTAATCACAGAAAGGGTTTCACCTTTTTAAAATGCACCTTCCCACAAAAAAAGTAGTGTCTGCCCTATTTGTTCTTCATGTTAGAAATGTATGCTTATGGAAGCTGGCCTGTTTAGCCTTTATTATAAAATGTATAAAAGTTTTTTTCCTGGGAAGAAGATTGGAAAAACAAATCATTATTTAAAGGATTATCCTCGTACTGTGGATTTCTGTCTTTTATAGTATGTAAAACTTTCCCAAAAACAACATCAGAAATGTCTTGCTTTAGAGCCCTCAGAGCAGGAACTGTCTTTTATCCAAAGGCATGATGGTTTACTAGAGGAGGAACATTGCTTGTTCATTTACTTCTAACCTGTATTTTAAACTGTAGGCTATGAAATGCCGATAATATATTTTGTGCAAGAAGTGAACACTTAAATCTGTGTAGAAAATTTTCTGTATTCTTGTTTCATTGTGTAATATTTGGATCATTTTGTGCTTTATCCAGATTTGTTGCAAAGGGAAATGTATGTAGGAACAAAGTGGAGCATTACACTTTCTCATTTTTAGCTGTAGCATTTTTGGTAACTATTTGTCCACCAACAGTCCTTAAGATTGGTACTGTACTGTTCTAGCTATGTTTAAGGATCAGTAAATGGGTATATCTTCACTAATTTAAAAACACGTATTTTCTTTCTCTATATTTCCAGCAATTTTTGTGGGATTTTTTACCATAATTTTCAGCCGCATTTCAAAATACAATTTTTCTGGTCGTGTTCTTGTTCCAGTTCTACCACAGCAATAGGTGAACACCACTTAGAAATGTATTAAGCACAGTAGCAAGCACTTGTGACACATGACTTCTTTCTCTCTCCCTCCAAACAGACATGTCAGTGTCACACCTCATCCTGACATTTAGGCAACCTTAGCTCGGGCCATTGACAACTTTTCAAGGTAAACTTGACATGTTGCATGTGATGCTGTAATTTGTGGGTAGCTGCATTAGAGAACAAAGGAGGAGATAAGGATTTGCTTCACCCCATGTTCCCTAGGAGATACACCTGCTTATTGTGAATGAATTGCCTAACAATTCCTGGCCAGTATTTCATGTACATTTCAAATTCGTTGATACTTGCAACTATGCATTAATACCTGCCACATGTAGCAAAACCATGGCAAAAATAAACAAAGATACTAAAAAACGTAACGGATTTATGCTTTACTGCATGCTTATAATAAAGAGTAAACGTGAAGTACAGAAAGTATGTTACCAAAAAATTGTTAACAAACTCAAGCTAATAATTTTGTGTACAATGTATGACACATATCACTAAAATGTTAGTTATTTCAGTGGTTCATTTACTATTTTCAAGTTGTGCTTACAAAGTTGAAGAAAGTGTGGGGTTTTTCTGACTACTTTTTTGCTAGAACTGTGCTGCTTTTTTTCCTACTTTAATGGATTGCTGTTGTAAAAAGTACTAATAATTGCCAAGTTAAATGGAAAAATATCAGAATGTTTCTTCTTCCTAGTTCTCTAGAAATAATGTAAAACTTCTCCTAATTCCCTGGTGATCTTAACAGAAAGAGTGAACACATTTCCTATCAGTTTATATTCTAGTTTAAAATGCAATCTGTATTTTCACATGACTACTGGTACCACTTTTTTCTACAGTGAAGTATATTGTATCATGTGCCTTTAATTGCTAATTGATAAGTGAATTATTCATAATTGATGCCATGCTTCAACAAAAATGCTGATGATTTTCAATTAAAGAGAAATAATTTTAACAGCCAGGTCATTGGTATTAGCTTATTGTATTAGCTCATTTCCTTTGCTGATGGAAATAAAGTTACAGAAGGAGAGAGAGGGAGGGGGTAAAAATTCAGTCAAAAGGAAATGTTAGTACATAGTTGATTTTGAACACATACATTTTTATTCCATCAGCTACTGTCAGTACGAAGCTAAATGATGAAATGCATCAGAAGAGTACATTTCTGTTTAAGTAGCTGAGCCAATCTAAATTCTGGCAATTACGCAAATTTACTCAGGGCAGAAAAAATTTTGTATTATAACTGTTACACAGTATGGGCTTTGATCAACTGGTAATTTTGAGTCTACAAGTTACGTTTTGTTTCCCTGCTACAGGCATGCATTGCATTGGAACAAAGGAACAGCTGTCAGATTAAAGTACCCTTTGCATTCATTACAAAAAACAGTAGTAACACTTTTCCTCAAAGTAATAAATTGGTGCCTTCGATTCTTTCTTAAAATTCCCCAAATTTTACATCCTCTACATTGAATTATAAATTTGAATGCTATATTGTAGAACTGTTCTCTGTTACTTACAACATAAACCCTTTATTAAAGATAAATAGTACTTGTATTTATATATATCTATCTCACACTCTGGTCTTTCCTTCTGTGTTCATTTAATCATTTTCCATTTGCTTCACCTAATTTTGTATTGAATTTTCCTGGGTAAGGAGGAGTGTTTGTCTCAATGACTAGGAAACCCAGGTATACCACTCCTTAGCAAAAACATCTTAATGCAAAGTTAAGGAAATCAGAATATTGACAACTAGAAAAGATATGATACTGTATTCCTTTTGATAGAAATGTTAAGTAGATTTCTAGGCAGTTTGTAAAAACAGATTTGTTTAATCAACACTAATTAGCTAAAAACCTTTGTATTAGTAAATATGGGTGAACAATCTGTGTGAAAATGGATTTGTATACTGAAACTGTTGCAGGGGTAATTGGTCAAGTCGGACTGTATGCTGTTGCTATATCCACCACAGAAACAATTCCTTTGTCCAAGGAATGTTACCAATGTCCCCATGAGCCTTCCTCGTGTTGCCAAGGGAATTCAATCTTACTTTGATCTTAGGCGTTATTCCCCTTAAAAATTGCGTAACATTGACTAAGGGTTCCTGGGCTGGTGTGGGGTAGTTTCTTTGATCTGCTGTCCACTCCTTCACAACAATTTTTACAGATGAGCCAAAGAAGCTGGTAGCTGTGAGTTCTTGTGCAGGAACTATGGTAAAGAAGTGAAACCAAAGATAGCAGACAGAACAATGGCATAAGGCATTGACAAGGTTATAATGCTGCTAGTTTCACTTATACATTTCAGTTTCAATTGTTGATAGTCAAAACCTACTTCTTTTTATATATTACTGCCAACAATTTAGGAGCAAATTTTGTGATGACTGTTCTAAAAATATGAAGTGTTTCCAGGCGAAAGGAATACTGTAAGATTCAAGTAATAAGGCTTTATCAATGTATTTTCAACAAAATCATCTATGTCATTTTGTTCATTTAGCTGTATATAATGTATAAGCACAAGCACTCGGTTATTTCCTGGTCTTACAGTGGAAGCATGGTTGGGGCTTGAGGAGTTCTGATACAGAATATTCTAGCTAGCAAAACCTTTTAGCACAAGTAATTTTTTGTTTCATTAGTCCCTGGAGAGAGAGATCTTCCCTTCTAGATATGTTTTGTTAATATGAAAGTTTGAGTGATTTGCCAGCAGCTTTTGGGTGAATATTTTGTATGCCTTGCACATCAAACATAAAAAAGCAAAGCAAATGCATTTATAACTTCATACCATCAAAATGTATGCACTTGATTTATTTACAGATTTTCCCCAAAGTAAAAACTATTTAACGTGCTCTTGCATCTTGCATCATGCATCTTGCATTTACA